TCTTGTGTGTGTACATAGTATTTTTTTTTAAATTGTGCCTGATTCACAGAGGCTAAGTAACAAGGAGGGATTCATAGAGAATGCATGGAAAAGGAATAAAATAAATATTATGGGTAAACTGGAGGAGGGGAACAAGAACAATCAGGTAGGGAAAGGATGCAGGGAGAGTGTTCTGAGACAGACACCTGGAACCGGGGGAGGGGCACCATTCAGGGGCAAGGTAAAACGTAGTACAATGGAAATTCCCAGAAATCTATCAGGATGACCCTAATTAGAACTCCTAGTAATGGGGAATACAGATCCTGAACCAGCCAACTCCTATAACCAGGCATGACTTCCAGTGAAGGGTTTAAACATCAACCCAGCCATAAAACCTTTGACCTACAATTTGTTCTGGCAGCATGATGAACTGGGGAAAAGGTGGCACAGAACTTGTAGAAGTGGCTAGCCACTGACTGGTCCAGCTTGAGACTCATGTCATGAGAGGGACCCCAGGCCTGACAATGCTTGGACCAGAAAAAAGAGGCTGCATGGCCCAGAGACCTAGGCCTAGGATAGAACCAAGCACAACCAAAAAAAAAAAAAGTCATTGAAATGATGCTCAATGATATTCTACTATACTCAGACTGGTGTCTAGACCAACTGTCATCAGAGAGACCTCATCCAGTAACGAATGGAAACAGATGCAGAGACACACAGCCAAACATTAGGTAGAGTTCAGGGAATCATACTGGAGAAGAGTAGGGGGAGGATTATAGGAGCCAGAGGGGTCAGGGACACCATATGAGAACCCACAGAATAAGCGAACCTGGACTCAAAAGGGCTTACAGAGACTGAATGGACAATCAGGGAGCCTGCATGGGTCTAACCTGGGCCATTTGTATAGTTTTAGTTATGTAGCTTGGTGGTTTTGTGGGACTCCTCATGGGGAGTGGGGGTGGGGCTGTTTCTGATGCTTTTGCCTGCTTTCTGGACTCCTTTCCTCCTATTAGGTTGCCTTGCCCAGCCTTAATATCCTTATATTACAAAACACAGAGCCTGAACCAGCCAACTCCTACAACCAGGCAAGACTGCCAGTGAAGGGTTTGGACAACAACCCAGCCATAAAAGCTTTGGCCTACAATTTGTCCTGTCAGCACGATGTACTGAGGAGGTGCCTAATCTTATTGCAACTTGATATGCCACATTTGGTTGCTGTCCCTGGGAGACCTGCCCTTTTCTGAAGGGAAACTGAGGAGGAGTGAAGGTGTAGGGATGAAGGAGGTGGATGTGACGTAGGACGACGGAGGGATGTGACATGTGAGAGAATAAAAACAAGTGCCTGAAACCTTGGAGTCATGTCCTCAGGGAAACGACTAAAAAAGACATAGGAAGAACTCAGGCTCCATTTAAATGTTCTACTTCCTCTCCTTCAACAGAAGCATACTGAGGAAGTGAAGAGGAAGTGGCATTAGTATCCACCCAGCTCACTGCAGGTTATGCAAGGGCACTGAATGGCCTAATTCCACAGCGAGCCATCAACATTCTCCTAATTACCAATTATGTAGCAGATGGTTAAATTCAGTTCACGCTTGACCAAGACAAGGTCAGCCCTAAGAAGTGTAATCTAATCTCCTGGAGACCATAACTAAGCTTTGCTTAAAAAATACAGGCACATCAGGGTTTTGGGGTTTTTTCCTCCTTTTAAATCAGATTAAATCCTGTTCTAATTTAAATCAGAATTACTAATTCTCCTGTCTCCCTTCCCAGCATCTCACATAATTCTAATTCTTCCTTTTCTAAAATTTCATGGGCCAGGGTGTTAGCTCTAGCTGGAGCTACTACACAACCATCACCTTGTTATGCCCCAGCAATTTGAAAAGGGGGAACCCCTGCAAAGACCAACGTGTTACACGGTTGAACAGGAGGCAGGTGGTAAGAAAATGGCAATAAAGAGTGTGAGCAAGTAGACAGTCAGAGCATGACAAATGGCCAAAACAGGTTTACACTCACTGCAGAAGCCTCCTGATGCCAGGAAGGGACCTTGTCTTAATGACATACTGTTCATAACAGCTTAGGAGACATGCTCTTTCAGATTTTGCTAAACTGTGTAACCTGCACACTATAGCATCAGTTATTGGTTCAAATGCCCAATTGTGAAGTCAAGAACGATGAATAGATTCTGCTTTCTGGGAGTGTCATTTCAAGGATAAAAAAAAACATGGGCAACAGCTCCACATTCTGAAAGCCAGGGTACACAGGGTACCTGGAATTGTTGTTAACATTGCAACCACTTGGGTAATGGAGAGCATTAACCAAACAAGGGCCAGAGTAATGACAGACAATAGAAACTGGTTCCTTTTAATCAATTAGAGCATTCAGTTACCTTCCTTACAAAGGAGCTTTCAAGAATGACAAAGGTGTGTCCTGAGCAGACTGGACCTCGGTGGTTTGGAAGCTGTTGTGCAAGAATAGTGGAAGGACTGAAGACTGTTGGATGAAAATTTGTAGTAGGAAGACAACTATTCACTCGAAGGCTGTGACACAAAACTTGCAGACTACACTTGCTTTGTTCTATTGCAGATAGTGCTTTGACAAGGCAGACTAAAGATGGAGAATATCCCAGGGATTGGAAAATAGGCAATGATACCACAGAGGCTGACACAGCTGTTCTTGGGTGCTTCTCCCACCTCCATGATGATGACTATTCATGTAGTACAGAGCTCAAAACGCAGCATGCGTGTCTCAGAAGCCTAGCTCGAATGGACCTGTAGACTTCAGCAGAGCCACTGCGAAAAATCCTTTTGTCTTTCCTCTACCACTGAAACTTTAAGAGTTGTCTGATACATAACAACAATGGATGGATAAGACATTTTTTACAAAACACATTTTGAAGAATGAAGATGCCTAAGCTACATACACTGAAGACTGAATACATTAATAACATGACCTCACTAGAAACTAGGCAACACAGTAAAACAGCCTGGTCATCAGTGAACCATTAATAAAGGAGATTCAGATCTATTTATCACATATGGCATCTGCAAAAAAAGTGTAAGAGACATTTACTGTAATTACTCTGCCAAAAGGCTTAAGTGTGCCCTTCCAAAGGGAAAGATGAATATTTTCTATGAGCTAAGAGTTTTAGAGACAACTATTTTAAGATGTTTTCCAACAAAGTCTAAATAAATTCATTCTGCCAAGTACAAATCTCAAACAGGCAATTATGAGCAAGATGAGTTTTAGTCAAATTCAGATTAAACTGCCCTTTCAAATCTTCAAACAGGTATGTATTGTCTAGAATATATCCACAAGTTCCACAATGCAAGTGTTTATGCCTCTACTCCAACAACTCAAAATGTCACAGCACCAAGTATGCATAAACCTGACTTAGAAACTCCCTACCACTGAGCTGTTACCTTGGTGGACTATCATGTGGTAGTACAAGCTGAATAAACCCTTTCCTCCCCAATTTGCTTTTTTGTTATGGTGTTTTTATCGCATCCATAGAAACCCTAATAAAAACCCTAAAGGCCATTATTTGTAGCATGGTAGAATCGTGGAAGTCTGTCTGTTTGAGGTAGACAGTCTTTGTTAAAATGACAGATAACTTTTGCATTGCTGCCTGTTCTCAATCATTACATCCCTCTATCAGCACCTTCAATTTTATTCTCAGTTCTTCATGGCTTAATTCTGTTTATTTATTTGTTTGTTTAATCAAACATATTTGAGACAGGAGTTATGGCACTATTTAAGAAAAAGTAATACAAATTACATTAGCTAAAAAAATGAAAAATAGAAACAGTACTGATGAGCTTTTAGAAGACTATAATGGGATCTTCAACACTTTTTTCACCCAAGATAGACCTGTAGTTAAAGTCGGGGTCGGGTTGTAGGAGTAATTTTCACAATGTTCTCTGTACAGTTAAAGGCTATGGATGTAAGGCAATAAGGTACATGTCTATGGGGGTGGAGGGATGTTTTGGAAGTAACAAAACCACACTCTATCTCCAGATAAGAATTCCCTTGAAAGCAATAAGCTTCCTATTGGTCCACAGAAGACAAAGTTGCTAGTTCACAACACATTCTCCAATTCTATGCTCTGCTATTCATTTTCCCAGAATCTAAACAGATGAAACATGAAAATGTGGAGACACTTCAATAGCTTGTCTGCTCTGTTGGCAATTCTGACAAAAAGCAGATGGTAAGTTTCTGAGTAGGTTAGGTTTTGACTTCATCCCCATCATCAACTAGTGACAGAAATAAAGAGCCCATACTTATACTGAACATTAGCCAAAAATGTGACCAGAACAGAAAGGACCTTCCAAGCCAAACATGAAATGACCAGTTTAATGAAATGGAGACTCACTAAACTGCAGAGTGTGCTGAGCTTGCGCCCAGCTGAGAGAAGGTGATGGAAAGGAGAAAAGAGGCATTTTTTCTGCTTCTAAGACTCTGGGATTTAGCAGACATGCATCCAAGAGAACGGAGGACAATGGCAAAGTAACTGGATGTAGAAATTAACTCAAAACGTGTTTCCTGACTGCTCACAGGAAGTAAATGAAGAATGAACCAAGCCTGGATAGTTGCAAACTCACCTCAGGCCAGCAAGATACCTGGCTGAGCAGACCTGAGTCACAGCTCGTCAAGGGGCAGGAAAAGATGGAAGACATAGTAGAGTGTTGAATGTCATCCTAGGCAACCATATATTTGACCAGATAGCAGAAATAAGCCATAAAAACGTTACAACAAGACAAATAGCATTTCCAGGATAAAAACACAAAAGTTCGGAGAAAGAAGGAGACTGTGGTAAAAGTCATATGTAGGGTATGGACTAGGGAAGCTGAAGGAAGCGGCGATGGACTCTACCACACAGTTGTGCTACTCATGGACAGCACGTAGAGTGTCGATGAAGGTCACTGCCAGACTGGGCATCTTTCCACACAGCACAAATTAGTCCACTGGACACCAGCAGGCACCACCAGTTTCCAAGCCACCACATCATAGACAACTACACCAAGCAAGCTGTCAGAATGCTTTAATCACTGCACTGGTAATTGGGTAGATCCAAATTTACAATCTGAGTTTTGAGACAATGAAGCAGGTGGCAATAAAGATATTTTTCCAGTTCTCTGCTATCAGCTATTTTCACTTTGCTTTATTCAAAATATTTACACTTTCAATTTCAGAGTCCTGCTTTTTCCCATTCAATTAAGTACACTGAGATATTCATATTTTCTTGACTGTTTTCATAATGTTCATTTTATTGAAGGTCTAAAATAAACTGCTTCGTATCTCTAGAAGTCTCTTTCCTAGAGTCTTGTTAAGTATGAGATTAGCCAAAGAGCCTCATCCTGAGAATTGAAAGTGAGCTTCCAGATGTCAAGTGCCTGATCCTGTCCATCCTCAAGACACAATGGAGAGACAGTCTGGGTGTTTGAGGCAACTTGACTCGGCTCAGATAGACCACTTCCTCTGTTCAAGGCAAACCCATGTTTCCTTAGGAAGACCAGCTCTACCTTTGACACTTTGTCCTTCTCTGGAACTATGACACATCTGAATTCACTCAGAGCTTGGCACTTGATCACATCAAATCGCCCATGTGGGGGAAGTGTGTTTAGAGAGCCAGTGTGGGGGTAAAACACGTGATCCTCCCTCAGGAGTGCCATGTGGGTGTTTAGAAGGATGAATGATCGGCAGGGGGCACAACCCGCCTCACTGTCCAATCTGACTGTGGTATAGAGCAGTAGCTGAACTTCTGCCAGAGAAGGGACACTGGCTTCCATATTTCCATGAAGAAAATAGACCATGTCTACCAAAGTTGTCTGGAAATTGGAAGAAAAGTGAACTCCATTTGCCAAAGCTAAAACAGGGATTTCTGCTTTCAAATCAAGAGAAAGCTGAACCAGATCCTGACGGAGTAAAGGATGATCTGTGTAGGCAGCAGCTTCAGATCTAGCTATTAGCACACCCAGGAGGTCCTGGCAGAGCTGCTGAGTGAGGCTCTTGTTGTAAGTGAGAACAGTAAGCAAGAGGTCCTGTGTAGAGCCCAGGAATCGAATGCTCTGCCCACCAAAGCCAACCTGAATTTCCTGAAGTGCAGTGAGGGGGAGAACATGAAAGATGCTCATGGAGCTTGGGCAATTATCTACCAGTACCAGAGCATACAGAGTTGAAGGCAGCAGGAGCAAGCATGCAGCTTGGGGATCAGGTTTACAGCAGTTAGCAACTGCAAGCCAGTAAATGCCTTTGACAGCCTTCACTATGTCCACTGGCTCTGGCAAAGAACAAGTCATGTGCTCAAGGAAGGCTGTGAGAGGGTATTCTTGAAGCCTCAACATTTGTTCTGGGAAAGATACAAGGGTCTGCTTAAATGCAATGATCTTCCCAGCATCTTCATAGTGAAGACGGAAAACTGAATTTAGCCAGAAATTTGGTGAGTCTGTAGATGTGAAGGCCAAGTTCCTATGAGGTGCTGTGCTCTTGGCTGACCTTGGGCTTCCTCCATATTCACTATTAAAGCTGCCGATCCGAGTTTCATGAAGAAGAGGAGGACCTGATGGCACCATGAATGACCTCAAGGGCAGGTTCTGGGATAAATGCTCCAGTAACGGCAGGCCTCTGATGAAGGTTGTCACATGGGAGGCCAGCCCACCTGGGTCACACATACTTCCAACATGCTTGGCTTGGCTCATTACTTTTGTCCCAGCCTGTATCACGTGGTCACTAGTGTCTTTATACAGGTCTGAGAATTTGTGGTAAAAATACTCAAGTCGCTTCTTTGTTTCTGTCCCAATATTGACTAGGGGAGCTAGAACACTATTGTTTTTAGCATCGGAGTCTTTTTCATTTTGTTGCTCACAACTCAATGTGGAAGCTGATAAGCTCTGAGGAGAGCTGCCAGTGGGATGCTCCCTTTGAGAAATGCTTTCGGAGAGAACAAAGCACAGCACCCTGTTTTGCATAGTGTACTGGCTTCCTCTGTTTACTGGCACTTGCTGGGACATGTGTTGCAACAATGTCCAGCTGGACTCGATTCCCCAGCTTTGTTTCTCTTCATGAGTCATGAACCCACTGCCATCTTCTGACTGACCCTGAGAATTCTGTGCATCTCTAGAGTTCCTTTCAGTAACGGAAGCGATTTCATGAAAACAAGCACAGTTTGGTTCAAGGTAGCCAGAACTCTCAGGTTTACAATATTTGTCATCAATACTCTTCAGCAACTCAGTTCCTGAGGACAGAACCATTCTCTCTTGGGAGGCCATGGAGAACGCTGTGGAGAATGATGTGTTCCGTGACGTTGGATGGCTCCACTGGCTGCTTGGACACACCTCACTCTCTTCTCTAAGGACACTGGGAGAGTCAGTAGCATCTTTGGGCTGAAGTGGGATAACACATCGTGCAGAACAAGGCTGCCCTTTCTGTTTAGGATGTCAAAAGAGGTTGAAATGGGGGTATGCTATGTTTTTCTGGCATTCTTTTGCACATGGCAAGTCTCATAGCCATTGGTTTCATTGGAGTAGATTAATTGAGAGATGAGATAGAAGGCCTAAGTCATTTGTGTTGATTGATATATGATTTAAGAACAGAGGGCTGATTCATATATGGAACATCAATTTTCGTGTTACACAGTTTAACAAATCACTGGGTATTTTGATAGAGACACATGGTGTAGGATTAATCCACAGTATCCATTTCTTGGTCTATGATTGCATTTTCTCTGAAGTACATCCCCAAACTTTTGCCTCAGTGTTTAAGAGGCCAGAGTTAGATGTTCGACCTGTATGGGCAAACATGCCCATCCAGGTCACACTGTTTTTTTGTTCTCTCTCTCTCTCTCTCTCTCTCTCTCTCTCTCTCTCTCTCTCTCTCATTTTATGAGTATTTAATCATGTTTTCCCAAATTAGAATACTATTGCTGATACCTATAAACCTTCACTAAGGAAGGCATGCTGCATGCCTATAATTTGTCAGGTACCATGGAAACAAACAAACAAAAGATATAAGACAGCCCTTCCTCTGACAAAGGTACCCAATATGAAAAAGATGTCCAGAGGAGGCTAATATTATTACTGGCTCACTAGCAGGAGAAGTGGGTGTGGTCCAAGTGAGTCAAGAAACTATGAACACCCAGCCTCCTTTTGCTCCCTGTTCAGTAATGGACAATAGATATTGATGGCAAGATTTCTATCACCTAGCAATAAAAAAAAAAAAGGTGCTTGGGCTATATGAGAATGACATTCCTCTTGGTAGAAGAAGACACAAGTGATTTCTTACCAATTATACGCAATTATACCAATTATAGCAACTGTCCACTAAAGAGACAAGACAGCTGATTGATCAAGGGGCTCCTTTGTACCACTGCCAACTCAGATATAAAATGAACAGGGTTTTAAGAACACTGAGAAGTTCTCAGTTTCATTTTCAACCCCCACCTTCTATATGATCCTGATTATATAATTCTGTCTTTTCAATGCAGACCAAGAGAAAGGATACTGTTGCTAATGAGAAACCTGGCATAGCTATAGGCCATTCAAATAAAGCCAACGCAGTTTTAGGCCTGCAGGATTCCCTTTAATTTTATATCTGTATAATAGTTTGCCTTCTCTATTAGCCATTAATCTCACTGTGGCTTCAAAATTCTAATTATGCAACTAAACATTAAGAAAATTTAATCACACAAGCATGCCATAATTTAAGCAACCCTATCAATCTGAGAATCATTACCTACCTCATATTTTAGCTTACGCTGAGTGCTGCCATTGTGAAGTTCCTCATTACTCTGAGAAGAAAAGAAAAGTCTTCTGTATTAAATTATACCATGCTCATATAAGGGAGAAAAGTTTGATTCTATTACAAGTATTTATGGTAACAAAATGGTAAGGAAACATGCTTGTCATTCAAAAATGACAACCTTTCCACAGGATTTATATTGCCAAGGTAAACATGTCTCTTATTGATTTATCTGTAGGACAGAGAACAGAACCAGTAACTTCTAATGTTAAGTTTCAACAGTAAAATTACATTCCTCAGAACATTTTTTAGCCTGCAAATTATGGAGTTCAGTGAGACACTGCCAAAAAAAAAACTACATTTATAGGCCTTATATTACTGCTTCTGAGAGTACTTCACAGAAGTCAGAATCATCACGAACCACAGAAACCCACATGGCCATATTTAATGCAGCACTAATCATAACAGAGAAGTTAGGAAATTGGAGATACCTATACCTATATCTATCTATCTATCTATCTATCTATCTATCTATCTATCTATCTAT